AAAAAAAAAAAAAAAGTAAAAGGTTGGGTGCAGTAGCTCACACGTGTAATCCTAGTACTTTGGGAGGCTGAGGTGGGTAGATCACTTAAAGTCAGGAGTTCGAGACCAGCCAGGCCAACATGGTGAATGAAACCCTGTCTCTACTAAAAATACAAAATTTAGCCAGACATGATGACGGGTACCTGTAATCACAGGTACTCAGGAGGCTGAGGCAGGAGAACTGCTTAAGCCTGGGATTCAGAGGTTGCAGTGAGCCAAACTTACACCACTGCACTTCAGCCTGGGCAGCAGAGTGAGACTCCATCTCCAAAAAAAATAAAAACATGAAGAATAGAGAAAGAGAAAAATGTAGGCCATGCATAAATAATGATGTAAGAATCATAAATAAAATATTATCAAATAGAATCTAGCAGCACATGAAAAATAAAACCAGCTGTGTTCATACCAGGGATGTAAGGATGTAATGTGCTTTCACATAAGGAAATCTATTAATGGTGATTATAATATTGCTAGATCAAAGGAGAAAATAAACGTATTATCTCTACATATGTCCAAAAGACATTCAGTGACATTTCATACCCATTCTTTTTTTTGAAGATGGAGTTTTGCTCTTGTTGCCCAGGCTGGAATGCATTGGCACAATCTCAGCTCACTGCAACCTCTGCCTCTTGGGTTCAAGCGATTCTTCTGCCTCAGCCACCTGAGTAGCTGGGATTACGGGTGCATGCCACCACACCCAGCTAATTTTTATATTTTTAGTAGATATGGGATTTCACCATGTTGGCCAGGCTGGTCTCGAACTCCTGACCTCAGGTGATCCACCTGCCTTAGCCTCCCAAAGTGCTGGGGTTACAGGCATAAGCCACTGTGCCTGGCCCCCAGTCTTAATTTTTAAAAGCAATTTAATTAGAACAAAATTTATGGATAGTTCTTTAATAAGATTTTTAAAATAACTATAAATGGCAAATACCAGAAGCAAACTCACTAAAATCAAGAGAAGGATGCCTATTGTTTTGTTCTAGAAGTATTGGTTATTGCAATTAGATAAGGGAAAAAATTCACAAATACTGGAAAGGAAGAGGCAAAACTAATTGCATGGAGATGATATGATGGCACATCTGGACTATTTGAGAAAATCAACTCAAACTATTAGAAATAATAATGGATATAAGGTAGAAATGAATATTTAAAAATGAATAGAAATAATCATTTAATGAATTAGCTGAGTAGCAAAGTATTGAAATCAATCACTATCCAACGCTTAAGAATTGAACAATTAGAAAAAGTAATGGAAGACAATTTCCCTTGTGTATCTGTGTAAAGAGCTTTTATAAATCACGAACAAAAAGATGATCACTGCCTTGGAAAGCTGGGCAAAATTCCTGACCTGGAAATACAAAGACCAGAGCTACCCATGGCCATCAACTTCTGAAAAGATAGTCAAGTAATGCAAACTTCAACAAAAAAGAAGGGTCATTTTTCCACCTCACAGGTTGGTTATGAATAAGAGAGTGAGAACGGCATTGGAGGTGTCCCTGGGAATAACCATCTGGACACCGTCAACCGGTCTAAATACAGGACACCTGTCAGATGCACGTGCCGTTTGACAGGCAATTAGGGTTTTCCTAAGGAAATAGTCACACGGCATGCAAAGATATATGCATAAGAATGTGCGTCTCTGCCGGGTGCGGTGGCTCACCCCTGTAATCCCAGCACTTTGGGAGGCCGAGGCAGGTGGATCACCTGAAGTCAGGAGTTCGAGACCAGCCTGACCAACATGTAGAAACCCCATCTATACTAAAAATACAAAATTAACCAGGCATGGTGGTACATGCGTGTAATCCTAGCCACTGCGGAGGCTGAGGCAGGAGAATTGCTTGAACCCAGGAGGCAGAGGTTGTGGTGAGCCAAAATCGCACCATTGCACTCCAGCCTGGGCAACAAGAGTGAAACTCTGTCTTAAAAAAAAAAAAATACTAGAGACCCGTTAAACGTGATGCTGCTCTGTAGTTATCCAGAAAGATACCCCCAGAGTTTTCAGTTAAAAGAGTAGGTTACAGGCTGGCTGCAGTGGCTCACACCTGTAATCCCAGCACTTTGGGAGGCCGAGGTGGGCGGATGGCTTCAGCTCAGGAGTTTGAGACTAGCCTGGGCAACATAGCAAGACTTCATCTCTACTTTTTTTTTTCTTTTTAATGAAAATTAAGTTACGAGGAGGAGGGTGGTAATTCCTGTTCCATATTTTGTCTTTAAGTCATTATATAGCTTCCAATATGGGAATGACTGGCCACATGTGTCTCTTTAAATTTAAGTTATTGGAAATTTTTAAAAATGACATTCAGTTCCTCAGCTTGCACTGGCCACCTCTCCAGTGCTGTTTCCAAATGAAACAGCAGATACTCTTTCCTTTTTTGGCTTATATGTCTCAGTAGTTTGTTAAATATTGACATTTTTATGTTTCTATAATCAGAAAAAGTACTATATTTTGTAAAAAGAATGAAGCATTGCATTTTTTAGGACTCATAACTTTTTTCTCTTCCAAAGCGAGTTGAATGCCAAGTCGAAGGAGTTATACCTGCAGATTTCAGAGGCTGGGCGATCCTCAGAAGGTGGGTTGAGCAGGAGGACCAAGGCCCTGCCCTCTGGAAAGGTCCTCGAAGGCCTGACCAGGGCCTCAGGAAGGGGCGGAGGGAGACCCAGCAGAGGAAGCCAACCCCTCCCCTAAGTGACTTTGGTTTCCCCGCGGCAATGTTTGGCGGAATGGCAATTTGAGTTATTAACAAGGTCATGCATTTTAGGGAAATATTCAACTGGATTTTTTGTTTTATTTTTTCAAAAAAAATCCAAAATCTTTTATGCAACAATTTTTGGCTTAGAGAAGTCGTTCTGGACCTTCCTAGCCTCAAGAGACCTTTTTTTTTTTGAAAGCAATAAACAAAACGAAACAAAACCTTTTAACTGTGGTAAGATAAACAACAGAAACTTATCATCTGACCCGTTTCTGTGTATGTAGTTCGGGGGCAGTAAATACATTCACATTGTGCAACCATCACCCCATCTGTCTCCAGAGTTCCTTCATCTCTATTCTGCTGCCTGCCTGAGTTTCATCGGGTATCCCTATAAAATAAACTTCAGAGGCTTACATTGAACTTACGATTTAGACACAAGAAAGCAACAATTAGAGGTAAAGTCACTAAAACCCTAAAATGAATGTGGGCCTGTATGTGTGCATGTGTACAGATCACTAGTTTCAAGATTTGTTAGGTTTTTAAAAATAAAAATATTTTCTTAGATTTCAAAACTCTCCCCATAAACATACCAAAATTGGGAAGTCCTTGGCCAGCTTATCCAGCCGTAAAGTCAAGGCATTTGGTTACGTCCTAAAGTTAGAAGGTCGTTATTTCTCCTGATTAACTAGATATATCCTGGTTGTTAGCAAGAATCCTGAGGCAACTTCCTTGATTTTGGAGTCCCGAGAAAACGGGGATGCCCATGAGTTAAGAATCCTGAGAGAGAAGCGCTCCGCAAGTCAGGGACCAGCGCAGCCTGGGGGCACTGTTTACCTGGAGGGACGCCAGCTTCTGAGCCAGTGTTCCTGGGTCCCCATTCCTGCTGGCCTCATTCACGTTTCATTCCAGCCAGCCTGATGCAATCTATGAAATTTCAAGCTTTACAAAAACAGTACAAAGAACAGCCACATAACCTTTACTCAGAATCCCATATCCTTAACATTTGCCCAATTTCTTTTATTATTTGTGCTCATGCTTGGTCTCTCCCTGCCACACTTATTTTCTTTTTATACACACACACACACACACACACACACACACACACCCCTTGAGGGTAAATTGCATGGGTCGTGATTCCTTAGTGTGTATTTTCCTAGGAATGGGGATCTTCTCTTCTGTGTCCATAGCACAGCTGTCAGCTTCCTGAGTTTACATTGCTGCAATTCTTTAATTTATGCCCATTTTCCAGTTTTTTGTCACTGGGTGACCCCATGATGTCCTTCAGGGCAGCTCCCTCTCCACTTCAGCCCAGGGCCGAACACTGCCTCAATGTCCTGTGGCTTTAGCATCCTCTGTCTGGCAGCGATTCCACAGCCTTTCTTTGTCTTTTATGACATTGATGTTTTTAAAACGTTCTGAAACGTGAGTGCTTTCGAGTGTGCTGGATGCACGTGAGGGGCACATTCTGGCTGCCGGGCGTGCGGGCCCCTTTGTTCTCACGGAACCGCATGGAAACGTCAGCAGCCCCCCTTGCCTGTGTCCTGTCTTTCCAGGTCTGCTGGCGATGGCGACAGTTCCTTTGGATTTATTTAAGAAGCAGCCTTCTGGACCACAAAGTTTCATGCTGACCAGCGGCTGCTCGGTGCTGGGCTCCGTCACGGCAGAGGTAGGGCGAGGCTCTCCACTACAGCCGGGTTCCGCTTAGAGCCCGTATCCCAGGACTTAGGTCTGCCAGAGCCTCGCTTCCACTTCCGTGTGATATAAGACCTCACTAAGAGGAGGTGCTATTTCATCGTACGCATGTCTAGACTCAAATAGAGCACGTTCTGTCCACTCTACGGTTGAGTTGTCTGCTGGAGGAGATAGCCTTTCAGGATGCCAGTTTATGGGCCTTCCCCCAAAAGGCCTTTGAAAATTTTGCTTGGTTCTCCAGCTTCTGTTCTGTTCCCATCATTATGTGTTGAGCCTGCCGTGTGTGAGGTGGGATCTGTGTCCGCTCTGGGAAGATCCAGGTTAATTGGAAATAAGTGACCTTAAGGGAAAAAAATTATGGTTATTTCAAAAGAAGGCAGCGTGACATGGCTGATCAGCCTGTGCGCACAAAACCAGAAACAAGTAACGTGGCCATGCACGGTGGCTCACGCCTGTCATCCCAGCACTTTGGGTGGATCACGAGGTCAAGAGATCGAGACCATCCTGGCCAACATAGTGAAACCCCGTCTCTACTAAAAAAATACAAAAATTAGCTGGGCGTGGTGGCGCGCTCCTGTCGTCCCAGCTACGCGGG